GCGTATGTGTGTCTGTGTGTGTGTGTGCGTATGTGTGTCTGTCTGTGTGTGTGCGTATGTGTGTCTGTGTGTATGTGTGCGTATGTGCGTATGTGTGTCTGTGTGTGTGCGTATGTGTGTCTGTGTGTATGTGTGCGTATGTGCGTATGTGTGTCTGTGTGTGTGCGTATGTGTGTCTGTGCGTGTAGCATTATATAGAATATCTATGGATCGCGTGAGTGGTGTTTGTTTTATTTCTTCGTTTGTTTGTTTTTCGTCGTTTTCGCGTTTCGTCGCTTTTCATCATCGATCAGCGCACGGTTGATCGGTTGTTTGTTTATTGTTTGTTTGTTTACGTTTGTTTACTCAAATCTATATATAACATCTCTTTGTCGTATATATAATATTATATTATTAATATTATGTATCGATTTCAATACAATAATAGCAGAAGCATGTAGGCTAATTACTTTTCTAAAGTAAAGACTAGTTGGAAACACGCGCAGGGAAGCTATGTACGCATGCAATCGTTTTCAATAATATATAGGAAGGGCTTTTAGGCGCTCATATATAGATATAGATATATACATACATATATATAATATATATATATGTATAAATATATATATATATATATTACAATTATCGGTAAATCAAAAAACAAATATATGCTGGTGTATACCCCTGTTACAATTTTATGGTACACAGTTATTGCCAAGGGCAAGCTCCATGCTAAATCTGAACAGTGGCTATGATCCCAATGTTTGTGTGTAGGCTGTTACATGCAGGCGAATCGAGGAGATGACTTTAACCTCAAAAACTCATTTACGAAAGCAGTATAACTGCTCATTAATATCACATCTTCCTGGTTCGTTTAGTTAGTATAAGGTAGGACTCCTGCTCCACATGAATCTTCACGTATATTCTTTTTCACCGTGTAAGTATATGGCGCGCGTACGCGTATATAGTGGAAGCCATCGATCGTGTCTGTATCAGACGCAGAACACCACGCTGTCCACGCCGCCGAGTGGCGCCACTGTACCACCAGCAGCCGTTTGTTGATTGCGATCACCATTCTGAGATGGCTGCCGCCCGGCCGGCTCAGTGCGTACAGATGACACCCTAGATAGAAAATATATTAAACCTGCGCGTAGGGTACATACAGCAACACAATCTGAGCTAGTATTAATGTTTATTAGGACACACGGCTTATAGGCGTAAGCCGTGGTGCAGACCATGTTATCATATTAAATGCCTGTTATTCGCTCTGCCTATTTTAACGCGATTACTGAATAAGTAGGTAGGTAGGTTTAGTGAAATGGATTATATAGTCGATTAAAATTAGCAGTTTGTACAGTAAGCGGCTATAAAAAATTCGAAATGCAAGTGATTTTTTTCCGAAAACATGTCAGTATTCTATGAACAAAGCTCGTATATTTTGCATATATATAATTACATGTTAATTATGGTCATAAAACAGATTTGTATCATTGTTGCGCATACGGAGTTCTTTTATGTTGGATGGCGATATAGCTATAGGGAAATATCATAACGTATTGCATAAACATGTTAAGCCATGAAGTGATTAAATCGGACACACGCGACATACAAGGCGCGAATATGCGCCTCCCGAATACTTTTTTTCAGCTTTCTTGACTACTAGAACTTAATCGTACCTTTTGTGATTTCCAATCGATTGTTCTTTAGGTCAGCCTTTGTGCGCGTCGTTTGTTCGTGGCTCTGTCCTTCAAAATCACTAAGTCTGCAAACGTATACACGACTTTCCTTGCCTAGAAGTAAAACCCTCGATTTTTACAATCGATAATTTATATTACTTGGCAAATAAATCGATTTAGGTGGGTCTTCTGTGCTGTGGGTTTTGTCGCCTAAGAGATCCTCGCCTCTTTTTATCCGAAGTTAATGGCACCAACCGTACTTATTTTGTACCGACAGAACTCGAGTGAAGACATTTCAAATAGTCAATGACTTTTCAGCAGACTCGAACACGACTTTGCTATTCATCGTGTTAGGTAAAAAAAAGAAACGCGAAGAATATAATCTTTCGCCTATATTTACTGCAAGATGTGAATAGACTAGTGTTCAGTCACTACTATTCAGGCTCGGAATTCGCTCGACTAAACAAACATGCAGGACCGACAGGGTTCCATTTACACAGAACATCGAAATCAGATGACGTGCCCACCCACACGAATCACAGGCTCACACACGAACACTCACATTCGCACGCACGCGCACAGACACGCACACATACACTCATAACACGATCACACACACGCACACAGACAGGCATCACACGCTCATATACTCAACGGCTTACACGCACGCACGCACGCACGCATGCATGCTCACACGCACACATATACGCATCATACGCTTACCCAGTCACAAAGACGCGCATGCACATAAACATGCACAGGCACTCGCAAGCATTACACGCAAATGCACACAATATATATATATCAAGAGCTAATAATACCTAGAGTGTACAACGGAAAAACGGGAAAATAGTGCTATTTCACGACAACATTATTCTACTTTGCCTGCGAGTTTATAATAATTTCATGGTATCAAGAGCGGATAATACCTAGAGTGTACAACGGAAAAACGGGAAAATAGTGCTATTTCACGACAACATTATTCTACTTTGCCTGCGAGTCTATAAGAATTCTTTGCTTCAGCAGCAGCAGCAGAACAGCTGGCTTCACTGCGGCAGGAACAGGAGGAGGAGGAGGATGCGCCGCGCATGCGCACTAGCGCGCAGCTCTCGTGCGCGCTCACCGCGAGCGTGTAATGCCGGAGCGTAATGACAGGCTGCAGCACGCCGCCGCGTCCGCCCCGCCGCTCCGCCAGCCGCCAGCCGACGCCGTCATCGTCATCGTCGCCACCGTCATCGTCATCGTCGCTGTGTCTGATCATCGCCGCCGGCCGTCGGCAGACGATCTGAGCGCCGAGCGGCGGCGGTGCGTGTGTCGTCTGCGTCGTGCGGACGGACGGACGGACGGACGCTAACACGCAGCGACAGCACATCAACGAAACCTCAGTAGTAAGTATTAAGTTCATCGCTATACGTCAGCTATCGTCTGCTAAACCTCTGCTACTGGCTCATATCTCCATCTTCATCTGATCGCTGGCTTGCGTCTGACATCGTCTGCTGCGTCGGCGAGCTTGCGTCATTGTCCGTGCGTCGTCGCGTGAACTTGCGTCATCGACTGTGCGTCGCGTGTGACGTGAGCGCGATCGTCTGTTGCGTGTGTGTGTGTGACGTCAGAGAGCTGAGAAACCCCGACTGCGAACGGAACTTTGTGTACGTGTCACTGCGCATGACGTCGAGACCGTGTGACGTCACAGACCGCGTCGCTAACGTGCGCGGTATCACCGGAAGTTCGTGTGCGCGGCGACGGTGGTGCCGCCCCGCGGCATTGTGTGAAGACATTACGACAGACAACCAATCAGCCGTAGCGCGGTGATCACGTGAGCGGAAGCGACCAATCACACGTAACTTCCGATTCAAACACATCAACCTAGGAGGAGCTTGCTGGAAGCTCAAACATACGCATCAATACAGACACAATTATATACAATACTTCATATGGCATACACATGCACGATAGACAGATAGATATTTAATTAACTAATTTATACACACACTATAACAATTTTCGCCTAGTTGCCTTCCTATTCCCCACTGCTCAAGTTTTCTACTACCAGGCAAGAGAAGGCGCGTGCACGTATGCACACATAACAACCCGCCCTCACACACACACACACACACACACACACACACACACACACACACACACACACACACACACACACACACACACACACACACTCACCATTTATTGGCGTGGTGTTGGTGGCATGCAAGATAGAACACTAATACTGTTACGCATTTATGACGTTTAACGCTAGATCTCTTACCTTTATCAGCCAGAAACAGAAGGATACCGTGCGGAGCGACAACATTCAGCTGCCTGATGACTACGGATCTATCGAAGAGAGCTCTATACGGCGTTCTCTCTGAAAGAATTCAGTATTGCATCTTTCAATAATAACAGATATTTAAAAAATGGGAATAGTTGTGTGCGGAGAAATGGCAGAGTGCCTATTTTGTGACGTGATCGTGTAATGGAGGCATACGTCCGTTTTCTATCAGCGAATATGAAATATAAATGCCATTTCATACATCATCATCTCTGCAGACTGGCATGTCTACACGCGCGCATTAGGCCGCCTCTATTCGAATATGTTTTCCTCAAACTATCGACGCTCTTGCATGGCTGCTTTACGCTCTGTGAGCACGGCGCGAGTCGAGAAAGCGTATGCACATTAGCGGCGGTGCTGCCAATTGCAGACAAGCGTGGCTTGGCAGTTGCATGGCGCATCGAGTGGTTTTGACTATAGATCACGTGACTGTCGAAGGTAGTTTTTTCTATGGCTGCTGTCAGACGGGAAACTCGGCCAAGTGGGACCGTCGTTTTTTCGCGGACAGATGCCCGTGACTGGAAATATAGCCGTATTATGGTCGTGACCAATTTTTCTCTCACGCCGCCCTAGCTCTAACCGTGTAGCGTGTAGACCTTCGCATCGCCACAGAACTATAACGGCAAAGTAAACGGCTGGTGAAGAATATGTGTGGCATGGCAACGGTCGTGCTGCTGTACAATAAAAAAGATTCTAGCCGGAAAAATAAACGCTTGGCTATATAGCCGGCTGCGCTAAACTCAAAGTCAACTCAGCAGAAGTTGGCCAGATTGGACCGTTTAACTATAGCAAACAATCGAACGCGCAACTTCAGCGCGCTTTTAAATTGAAATTGTGGCGGCGCTAGTGAACGGGCGGCCATTCACCGGAACTCTCTCATACTTTGTTGTGTAGCCCAGTGGCGACGCGAAGGGTTACGCGCGGGTCATTCATGAGTTGTACGAACATGCACAAGTAAGCCTGACACATGCACGCACGGCTGCACGTTCAAACACACGCGCGCGCGCACTCACAGACTCACAGTGAGAGAGAAAGAGAGAATGATATATATACATATACATGTATATGTATAT